GGGAAGAAGAACAAACTGGGGAAGAGGTTAGAGAGAATGGTACAGCAATGAAGGAATGAAAACCCAAAATCCCTGTAAATGTTCATTAATACTAATAAAATTTAATAAAAATAAAAAAAGAGAGAGGCTGAGTGGGGGCGGAAAGGAAGGAGTCCATGGTGAGGAGCTAGAAAGCACCGTGCATGTGCTGGAGGGCGTGTGGAGACCACCACAGCTGAAGCATGATTGACAGAAGACTCACCCAGGAAGCTGTTTTTGAAGAAGATAAGGAACATGGGGGGGCCACCTTCCATATTAGTAGAGTGAAACCATGGTCAATGCTTGGCAGAGGGAGTGGTCCTGGGGTGGGGTCCCTGGACACCTCAGAAGAGCAACTCCCCAGCCTAGAGCCTGTGGTCAGCCTGCGGAACAGGGAGGAACAGTGGGCCTGATGAGCTCTGTCTGCTGTGCTGCAAGGTATGCTCACACCAGCATGAAGGCCAGAAAAATATCTCAAACCTGGTGCCAGGACACTGCCCACCCTATCTTTGCATGCCTTGCTCTGTGGTTGTGGGCCAGTCTCTGCCCTCTCAGACTCTTCTTCCCTAACTTTGCAGTTTAGGTCTAGAAGAGATTTGATGTTTTGAGAGGTGGTTGACCAGGAGACCCGGTGAAAAACCTGTCAAGTCTAGAGATGAGTGTGGGGCGGAGCCTGAAGGCAGGGAGTGCCAGCGCCAGGCCAGGCGGGGAGTTGGCGGAGCAGGGCAGCAGGCACCAGAGGCCCCAGGCTGGGTGGGAGGTCGGCTGGGCTGCTTGCTGACATCAGGACTGGTGAATGCATAGGGAGTTCAGGCTGGTTCATCAGCTCTCACCTCCCTCACAGCCTGGCATGGGGGCAGGACCAGAGGTAGAGGATAGTTGGGGCAGGGAGCCTCTGGAAGCTCCCTGGGCCCAAGAGCACAGCCTCATCCTCACCCTATGTGTCACAGAGCCAGCTCAAAGGGTGCCTTGGTCCCCGGCCCCATCCACTCATCATCCCAGAACTTCCCCTTCTAGCCCTCTTTCCTCTTCTCCTTTCCTGGGCCCTAGGACCCTCTTCCTCGTGTGCTCTGCCTCTCTTCTCCCAGTTTTATCTCCAGCTCCTGACTCAATTGCTTAGGGAGAGGAGCCAAGGAAGATGGTTTGATTCTTGCACCTCTGCCTCCCCAGAACCCCCAGCGAACCCCTCTTGGCCTTTGACATTCCTGGCTTTGCCCTGTACAGAGCCTTGCCTTGCCCCAAACAACACTTCCTAGATATTCTCTGAACGGATCAAAGGAACTCATCTGAGGGATGGGTGTTGGTATCTCCTCCCAAGAAGGCAGAGCCCAGCGTGCCATCATTCTTTGGAGAAGCAGTGAGAAGGGCTGACCTCTGCCCTTCACCCCATAGGCTGCACTCCGTTACCTACTCCGGAACTTGCCCAGGTGCAAACCAGTTATGGGGCTGCGAATAAAGCTGCCTAGCGCCAATGCTTCCACACAAGGCCTTGCTGCAGTTGTGACTGGCCCTGTAGTAAATAGGTACTGGGCTTTTGGGACTGAGACTAGAGTCTTTGAACTCTGGGCTCCTGTGCTCAAATCTGTAGGGACGGAGAGTGCTGTCTGAGGCAGCAACTGCTGCAGCGTCTCACTGTCTATATCACAGTTTCCACCCAGAGAAAGAATGTGGGAGTGGTTTGGCTCACCCTGTCCAGACGGCTACTTGGAACACACTTACACACACACATGCACGCCTTTTTGGCACTTAGCTTTCTCATATGAAATATCTGCTGGGAGGCTCTTTGGATTAGGTAACTCAGTGTTCCTTCCTGTCCCTCTGGGGGAGAAGAGTGGGGTGCTAGGCATTTGGCATCAAATTCTCAGTTCCTTGGGTTCGGTCCAGGAGGGTCTGGACCACAAAGAACATTGGAAATGGACCTTGACAGGACAAACCTTTCAAAACCATCTCATTCCTGTGCTTGCCACTGGGTGGGCTGCCTTCCAGGTGGGCCAGGCTGCAGGAGAAGACTCATTTGAAAAAGCTCCCCCCTCCCCAAGTTATGATGCTCCCATTTTGTTTCTTTTTTGAAATTTCATCTAACATTCGAGCTCTGGTGGCATAATGGTCTTAGGGAGCTGTGCATGACGTTAACTCAAAGCCTTTGGCTCTCTGGTGATTCCATCTACTAGCAGCTCCATGGGAGAAACACGGGCGATCTCCTCATGCGGTTTACAGCCTCTGAAAACCTGCTGAAGGGTCAGCTATGAGTTGATTTCAATTCGTGGGCAATGAGTGCATCAATGAAATTTGAAATACACTATGAGGAAACGTATCTGTGCTCATCGCCCTGAGGCAGTAATTGTTTCTCTTCTTTCCCTCTACTGTGATAGCAGCCGGGTGGATTTGGAAGGGGACTATCTGGGTTCACACTGGAAGCTGAGAGGAGTGGGAGCCCTAGCCTATGGATAGACCAGGGACTGACCCTGATGAGAGGGGGAAATGATTGATCTCAAAGTCACCCATCCCAGAAATGGCAGATTCAGCCCCAAGCACATCCATTTGTCCTCAGCCATCTCAGTGTCCTTAAGAGGCACCTCCTGGTACACCTGGATCCCCTCCTGAGCACCGATGACATGGCACAAAGATTTAGCTGCAATAAGTGGGGCTGGAAGGGGAGAACGCATACTTGCAAAGATAAGTAGGGCAGCACACCACCACCCGGCTTCTCTCTTCAGTCTTAAAAATAGGTGTTAGAGGTTCCAGGCGAAAGCCTTCTACGTAATACACGCATGTGATAGAGGTACCTACAGCACAAAGCGGGCAGCGATGTGCACAGGGTTAGGGGTAGGGTCGCAGTACTGATGGCTGCAGGTGCTCCAGCAGTCCAGGAATCCGCAGAAGAGAGCCCTGCGGGAATGTCTAAACTGCGAAAGTTCTCTCCAAAGTCTATTTGGGGGGTTAGGCCTTTTTCCGTGGGCCGGTAGCCGCTCCCCTTTGCTCTGAGGAGGCTCGGCTCGGGGTCTTCCAGATCGTGATTCGGCGGGTCTCCAGGGGTCCGGTGCCCCAGAGGCGGCTCGCAGCGAGTCCGGCCCCGCCCCTTGCGCCCCGCCCCCCACGCAGCGCCCTGTCCCGGAGCTGGAGGGCCCGCCCCTCCGGCCGCCCTCCGGGCCAAGCCTGCCTCAGCCGCCAGTCTCGGTTGTGAGCTGCAGAGCTTGGATCTCCCGCGTCCTGCCGGCCCACTTCCAGACCTGTGCGCGCTACCCGGCCATGGAGCCAGCCCCTGAGGCGGAGGAGGCGCGCACGGTGCGCGAGGCGCTGGGTCGCTACGAGGCGGCTCTGGAGGATGCGGTGCGCGCGCTGCACGAGGACATGCAAGGGCTGCAGCGCGGGGTGGAGCGGCGCGTGGCCGAGGCGCTGCGCCTGGCCGGCCCGCTGGCGCGCACCGTCGCCGACCTGCAGCGCGATAACCAGAGGCTGCAGGCGCAGCTCGAGCGTTTGACGCGCCAGGTGGAGGCGCTGGGCTTGGCGGCCGGGCTGTCCCCCACGACCAGCACGCCTGGCACATCCAGCCCTCCGCCCGCGCCCAGGGTCCCGGATCGCGCGCCCCGTCTGGGCACCGCACGCTTCGCCAGCCACGCCACTTTCTCGCTGTCCGGCCGCAGCCAGGTGAGTCTTGAGAGCGCGGCGCCTTGGTGGCGGTGCTAGTGCGCGTGCGCCCGGCGGGTGAGCATCGGCGCTTTGGTGCCGCCCCCCATCCTCACCTCTTCCTCGGAGTGCGTGCGCCTGTGCGCGTCTTTGGGTTGGCGGTGCTTGACTTGGCTGCTAGGAGTTGTTGTTGGGGGATTCTGGCCACCCCTGTGAAATTAGGGCAAATAAACTTTCCTGTTGCACCTGTCTCAAGCCGCCTCCCATCTTTGGAGCCAGGCCTCGTTTGCTTCAAGATCTGCCCCCATCTCCTTTATGTCCCGTGAAACTAAAGGCCTGTGCACTGAGGCGCGGCTGCTGGACAGACCAGTCAGCACCGCCTGGGCCCCACTGAGCTGATGGCGGGGTCAGCACCACCCGCTGACCTCCACTCTCTCACTCCTCCCTCACCCCCTATGGTGCCGATTCACTGAGGCTTGACTGCTCCCATTGCTGATTAACTCAGAGAGAAAACCTGATCCCCCACGCCCTCATGCTATGCACGCTTGCGTGTGTGTGTGTGTGTGTGTGTGTGTGTGTGTTGTATGTAGATGTGTTGAGGGCCCAATCGTGTGGGGACGCAGCCCAGGTGGCTCCTGAGAGTCGCATATAGCAGAGGACAAACCCCTTAGAGTGAAGAGAGGGGGTAGATGGGAACATGGTTTGAGCAGTCATTGTATTTCTGGGGTCTGTGACTGACCAAAGTAGATACCTTCACCGGTGGGGGTGGGGCAGAGGCCAGAAGGGACCAGCCACCACCCTGAGCACGAGCCTCCCAGGGTGGCAGGCACCTCCAGGGTCACACATTTCCAGTAACGCTTAGGGGGTGATTTTCTGCCCCGGCTGACCTGTGCTGGGATTGGGTTTGCAGGGTCTGTTCTGAGTAGTTGCCATCAGTCCTGTGTCTCTGGTTCAATCCCTTGCTTACGAAAATCCTCTGGACTGCACTTCAGGGATTATTAGGAAGGGCGAATCAGTTTCAGCTTTGGCCCTGGCTCTCATAGTGTGGATGGCAGATGGAGCCAAGTGGGCAATGCTAACAGCACGGGGAGCTACTGCCGCAGATGGCTGCTGTAGTAGTGCTCACTGCTGGCCTGGCTTCCCAGCGGGTAGCTAAGGAAGGCTTTGTGCTGCAGTTTAGGTCTTATTGCTGCTGCAGGTGGAGATTGAGGTGGGGTGGGCTGTGCATGCAACCTTACACTTTCTGAGTCTGGAACCTTGAGCCCTCATTGGGCCCAGCTGAACCTCCTATCAGAGTGGAGGGCTAGTTGTGAAGACTGCAGAGTGATAGGGCTTTGTCCTTCTGAAGGAGCCCTGGGTGCTTTCTGGAGTGTTTGGAAATTGGGATGCACTTAATTCTGTCCTGTGAGCATGACACACGATATACTTCAAGAGACAGAATCCTTGAGTGTGCTCAGGAAACTGCAACTGATTGTTTTTGAGGCTTTGGTTTAACACATGGGATTGCTGTGAGTTGTGGTTGACCAGATGCCAGCTAATAACAACAGTTTAGCACTTTTTTGCTACTTATCAACTCATGGAAAGAACTGCTCAAATTTTAGGAAAAATAATCTCGGAGTCAACCAGGAAAAACCAAACCCACTGTTACTGATTTCGACTCATAATGACCCTCCATTGGGTGTGCTGTTGTTGTTACTATGTGTTGTGGAGTTGCGACCAATTAATAGTTAATCCTCTGTCAGGTTTTCAGAGGCTGTAAATCGAACAGGAAGAGATTGCCCATCTTTCTTCTGTGGAGCAGCTGGTGGATTCGACCCCCCTGGCTTTGGGTTGGCAGCTCAACTCCTTAGCATGAGTAAATCTTTATAGCCTCTGAAAACCTTTTGAAGGGTCAGGTATGAGTTGATTCTGACTTGACTGCAGTGAGAGAGAGCTAGAGAGGAAGAGAGGGAGGGAGAGAGAGAGAGATATGCTCAAAGGCATCAAGTAAGCATAGAAAAATAGAAAGCCTTCTGAAGTTTTCAGTCTGTAATCTTTATAGAGCAAATTATCACACCTTTCCTCCAGGTTGGCACGTCTATTTGGGCCGCTGATCTTTCAGTTAGCAGCTCAAATGTTTGCCCACTTCCTTAATTGTCTAGTGCGGTTGTAACAGAAAATACCACATGTGGGTGGCTTAAAAGTAGAAAAGTTTACTTATAATTTAGGAGGCTGGAAATCTGACGTTAGGGCATTAGCTCTAGGGAAAGGGTCTCATTTCTGAGTGAAGATTCTCGTGTCTTTCAGCTTTGGTAGGCTCTGCTTTCTTCAGTTGTTTGGCAATTAATCCACCCCACTTGAAACTCAGAAACAGGGCTTTGAACTCTAGTTATTGCAGGTTCAGTCACGACTGATGGTGCAAAATTAGAATGTCCCTCAAATTTGTAAAATGTGGGTTTTTTGGAATGGGAAAAATGAAGGGTTAGAAACTTAGAAAAAGTAACGGTTAAAAACAATAGAAACTTGGTTTTCCTCATAGAAACCAAGGGCAATGTACATATTGCATAGCAACCGAATCTCTTGACCGACAGAAGCAGAAACAACTGTCCAGCTCTAAGATGCTGGCTAACTTTGTTGCTTTGAATGTGTGTGGCTCTTCACAGCCTAGTCTCCCACTTCAAGCCCCCAGAAAGGCTCATTGAATCTTCTCTAACTCACCCATTCCGGAGTTTGACCTGTGAACTTTCCCGTTCCAGTTATTCGTCTGCTTCGCCCATTTTAAGAATTCGGATCTGTTCCTGTTTTGCTTAGCTGGCCATGACTGAACCTATTTGAACTTGTTCAAAGCCTTTTTCAGAAATTACTAGCTTATGGCCTCATTAATAGTCCAAAGAAAACCATGTTTTCAGATGGAGTTAGGATTTCTACAGGTAGTTTTTGAGGAACACAATTCTAGTCTATAACACACATATATTGTTGTTGTTGTTAAGTGCCGTCGAGTCGCAGGTGACTCATAGAGACCCTATGAAGGAGAGTCCTCGACACTTGGGTGCCTTTCATCCCCTCTCCAGGTTCATAGGGTTTCCAGAGGCAAGCTATTATGGAAGTGGACGCCACTCCTCCTTCCAAGATAATACACATATACTATGTGTTATCTATACTTCTCACTCCACATACCTACACACACACACTATGTGGGAGGATCCTTTCCTGTTATGTGACTTTTATTCACCTGGGGTGAGCTAATTCCCTTGGGTGTAGGGGTAGTGGGCAGAAGGAAACTAGGCAGAGGAGGGACAGGGCCCCTATCTTGTACCTGTCCAGATCCTGCAGGGTAGATAATGTGTAGGGTGAGGTTGGAGGAGGGAGAATGGGTTTGAGCCTGAACAGTGGGATGGAGATGGAGTAGGATTGAGGGTAAGAGTAGGATCAGCAGGACTTGGTGGTCTTTGGATGTGAGAATGGAGGCAGACAGAGGAGGGTGCAGATCTAAGGAGAGATCCCAGGTTCAGTTGGGATTGTGATGAGTGTGAGGGGAGAAGGTGGTCCAGAGCAAGTGGATTCTTGGATCAGGCGTGCTGGAGAGCTGTTGAGTCTGGGGGTTGGACAGATCCTGGGGCGGAGGCAGCTGTGGAGTGGGTGAGTCTTTGAGGGCACTTGTGCAGAAGAGGAGAAGGAACAGGAAGCTAGCTAGGCACCCCTTCAGGAGTGCTGAATAGGCCCAGAGTGGTGTCTGGCTATGTCAGGGGCTTCTTGGAGGCCACCCCTACTTTCCAGTTCATGTACTGTGACCAGCAGTATGTGATAGTATTGAGTCTTGAATGAGCAGTCAGGGTTCTGGGGCAAGACCTGAGTATGGATGATGGACCGAGAGTCAACAGCTTGCTGCTGGCGCTGTTGGTTCCCAGTCTCTCGTATGCCAGAGCGGGGCCTGCATGTGACCATCTGTCCAGTGCACCCGGACTGTGCTACTTGGTTTGTGGTCAGGCATTGTGGACATTGGTGTCACTTTGCCATGAAAGTTAGAGTTGTTGAGTCCATTGGCTTCCTGAGGTTTCAAAGTGGGGATTGCAGGGGTCACAGGTGGGTGGTATTTAGCACACAAATGGTGCTGTTCTCAGTCATGGGGACACAGAGAATGATCAGGGACGCTTTGGGACAGCAGGCAGGTCAGTGTAATGGGCAGCAGCAGGAAGGACACCCTGCAAGGGGTCAGAGTCCCCGGAGCAGACAGGAACTGGCTTCAGTAATGTACCCTCTGCAGCCTGTCATGTGTCTCCCCCTAGGTGGGCTTTCATTTTCCTCTATAATAAGGAGCTGGTATTCTAGCCCAAAGATAAGCAGTTCAAATCCACCAGCTGCCTCTTGGGAAAAAGATGGCCAGTGTCCTCCCTTGAGATTTACAGCCTCTGAAAACCTGCGGGAGAGTCACCTGTGAGCCAGTTCTGATTTGATGGCATACAACAACAAACTGAGGCAGGAGGGGGTGTCTCTGGGAGACACAAATGGTTAAGCACCTACTAATAGACAGGTTGGAGGTTTAAGTCTATGGAGAGGTGTCTTGAAGAAAGGACCTGGCAAACTCCTTCTAAAAGTCACAGCCTTGGAAATCTGGTGAAATCTGGTTCTATGCTGATGCACATGAGTTCGCCAGGAATTGGTATCACCTCAACAGCAACTAACAACAAGTGGAGGGGATTGGCCTGGTCTTGTTGGCCCTCTCGATGAATGGGCTGGGTAGTTATAGCACTAATTGATGTCAATATGTTTGGGCACCCAAAAGTGTTTCTGGAGTGACAGCTGGGGTCCAGCAGGAGCAGGGAACCAGCTGGGTCTTTGAGGTGGACGGGGCAGCCCAAGGCCAGAACCTGTCCCTGGAAGTGTCTTCGGCTGAGCTGGAGCCGTTGGGTCCCCATGGCCGACTCCCTCAGGAACGGCTGCCAGGACCCGAGTCGGAGGCCCGGTGGTGAAAGAAACCAGACTCGCCTTATCTGCCTTCCTTTCCCAGACACACTGTGTGATAAGAGAGTTAAATGCTTTAG